CATACAATAATCAAGCACCACTTCAGATCAGAAAATTTATCACCTCCAATATGAATAAAATGCTCTGATACTAATTGTTGGGAGGAGCCTACACGCCCATCCCGATGTGGAAGCGATATCACCTGAGAGAGAGAGTCATGGCTTTTGTTGTCACAAAAGCTCAAGTCAACCTCTATATTCTCGTTTCACTAAGGAAACAAGAACAGAAGTGAAATATCTTAACAAAGTGAGATATACACTCTTCCTCTTATCAGTGCTAGGACTAAATGTCGAGGGAACCAATAAGCAATAGCTAACACACAGAAACAGTAAAGACACGAGATTTACGTGGTTCAGCAAACTTGCCTATATCCATGGGAGGGAGGACTGGGAATTTCACTATGAGGAGAATACCAACTTGCACAATCCACAAGCTCTCTCTTTTCTTCTCTCCTCAAAATCTCTCAATTCCTCTCTTCTCACTTCCTCTAAATCTCTCTTTTTCTTCTTCTCTCTATTTATAGGAAAATAGAGACATGCTCCATGTTTCGGGGATGCCCCCCCCCAAGATATGTTCCATGTTTCAGGGATGCATGTTTTGGGGGGTTCACAATTCTCCACCTCGGACATCATTTGATAAACCTTAAATTTTAAACGAACATCAGAAGAACACCACCCCCCCCCCCCCCGACATGCTCCATGTTTCGGGGCTCCATGTTTCGGGGGGTTCACAATAGTGATACCAACATAATCATAGAAGAAAGAAACAACTTGAACTGCGAAGTGTTGACACCGCATTAGTTTGAGAATTAGAATGGTAGGGGGCGGGGGTTGCCCATTAGACAATAAGTTTGATGAAAAAGTGCCCTAGATCCACATGTCAGTTACACATTTATGATAATCCAAGTTATCTGCTTCACAATTATAGAAAGTTCATGAGTTTTTAGTGAATTTAGCCTATAAGATCAATGGACTTTTGGTTATTACTTTCCAGTGTTATTAACCAAAATAAAACAGTATTTTTGCATGTTTAGAGGGAAAAAACGAAATAAACTGAGACAAAACGATGGAGCATACAACATAAGTGAGTGAGACTTTTCCTAACATGCAACCAATTGTAATAGAGTTTCCTAAGTTACTAACATACAACTTGTAAACACCCAACACCTTGAAAAGAGAGGGTATATATTTTTTGAGAATCAATATACTCACGTATTAGTCAACACTATAGATTGATCAAACAAGTTGTTCCGTTTTCCTTTTCCTCCTCGTATTCTAATTTACTGGTGGAGAGGGTTGAAGTTCCACTTCAGGTAAGTACTGTCCTGCAACATGTCATACCTAGACCATGACTGATACTACAAGAAACACCTTAGTAGAGAAAGACAAGTTGCAATAATTGTCTTTAAGAAACAAATGACCAAATATCTCAAATGAACTGAATGATTAAAGAGGCAAGAAACAAACCCAAAGAAATCACTGTACTCGGAATATTAAGGTCATCTGCCAATGCAACAGTCGTAACCTTGTTATGAGCTGCAGAAGGACCATATCCCTCATCAAAAGCAGACAAGCCTTCCACTATTGGAGAAAGATTCCCATCTTTGCTCAATAAAGGAACAAATTGTTCATTAACTCCAACAAAGTCATTAGTGGTACCATCCAGTTCTCGTTCAGAATTATGTACAGCATCACGCATAATTTTAGGAGACTCATGAGAGAAATGAGCCTCATTAAGAGTATTTGGAGCATGATCTGCAGTATCCACCACGTTTTTGGCAGTAGTATCGAGATCACTAATATCATTATCATCAAATGGAAGCAAAAAACTGCAAGTAAATATACAATCAATTAAATTCTCATTGTTCTCAATGTTTGTATATATTTATAAAATGAGGGATCATTTCAAACACCTATACATACTCATTTCCCAAGGAATGTTGTGGACCAAGAGGTCTGATGCCCACACCATCGTCGTTATGAGCATCAAGATCAATGCGTTCACCCTCAGATGGTGGTAAAAATACTAAAACGGATATATCATCAATAAGTTCCAAAAAAAAGTTTTTTGGTCGGTGGCTCACATAAGTCATAACACTAAACAATCCTTTCAAATGAGACTTACTCTTCTTCCATTGGCACAACACTAGGATTTGAAGTGTTAGGCCGAGGAGATCTATCATTTCTCTTATTCTGTCAGCATATAGTAACAAAGTAGTGTGCATTAAAACCATAGCAGAGACTTCAAAAATAAACATACTAATAGTAAAGAATGAGACCTCATCAATAACGATAGACACATATGTTAGACCCTAAGGCCGCTAGGAAAGAACCCTAGAGGGGGGGGGGGGGGGAATTTATGTCAATTAAAACTAATTAACAAATATATCCTAGCAAGTATGATATGCTACAAGATATGTGCAAGGATATACAATATAAACAAGGGTAAACAAAATGATCATGCAACAATGACGATATAACAATATGCAAGAATAAATGCGCCAATGTCAAACCCAAACACAAGGAAATGATCACGGAGTTCGGACCTTCCGTCCTACGTCTCCGCTCCCCACTCCCCGGGAGAATCCACTACACAACCCAGTTTGGAAGCCGGAACTTCTCTACACACTCGGTTTTCTAGCTAATCAAAAACTCTACACACTTGGTTATCAAGTCAACCGACAACTCTCACAAATCCTCACAAAGTACATCCACAAGCTACAACCTCAAGTGTTGGTCCTCACGTATCGACTCCCTCAAGTGCTCAAAATTATCACCTCTCACTAGGCCACCGACGCCACTCCTCTTGGTATCGACTCCATCCTCACCACACACTCCTCTTGGTGTACAAGTGTATTACAAAGTGATCTACACAATTAAGCACAATAACAAAGTGTTTGTTCTCTAATACAAGGTGAGAACTCAATATAAGCTCACACTCTTAGTCACACAATTCCACAACCCAATTATACAATGTATGCAAATACAATAAGCTCAATAGTTGTGTGTGTAAACAAAGAGTAAATAAAATCAACTAAACTCAATATAAACACTAGCTTAATAAAATGGTAATTCAACAATATAAATGTAAAGCTAGATTGAGTTTAGGGAAACTTCTCTATAGATAACAAGAGAGAGGGAGAAGAGTGAATGCTCAAACATCAAGGATGATCTCCACTTGCTCTTGTGAAATTCTCTTCACAAACAAAACTCTTAAACACTCTTTTAAACAAACTAAAACAAACTTTAAACCCTTGTTAAACTTGTTTAAAATATTCTCTTGGATGGTGAGAGAGATAAATACAACGGGGGTATTTATAGGCTCCCAAAACATCAGCAAAAACCCAAGCAAAAAGACCAAAAACCCAAAAACAAATAAATCAGAAAACTAGCCGTTACTGTGCAACGACTCTCTGATAAGTCGACTTATGAGTCGACTTATGAGTCGACTTATACGAGTCAACTCAGAAGAAGAAAAAAAACACAACTGGGCTACACTTCATAAGTCAACTTATAAGTCGACTCATGAGTCGACTTATGAGTCGACTTATACGTGCACAAACAATTTCAGGTTTTGACAGATTCTGAAAATTTGCGTATCTGACTTTGTAAAATCAGTTAAAAATAGTAAATCAACTCTAAACATCATGAAATTTTGAGAGAAGGTTCTAGACATGTAGATGAACATTTTAGAGAAAGAATTTCTAAAAAATCACTTTCCATTTGATAGAAATAAATGTTTGAACATAGATAAACAGTTTCTGAAAAACTGCTAAAAACTCGGTTTTGTAAATTCAATTGAAAATAACAAAACAACTCCAAAATTAGTAAAACTTGGCGAAAAGCTGTATATATGAATATAAACATGTAAACAAAGAAATTTTTTAAATTGTATTTTCCAATTATGAAAACTCATGTATTTTGCAAGTATGTCCAAAACATGAAAAGTTGATATACATGAAATTTGATGTTTTGACTTAAACACAACTTTAAAACATTTTTAAACGTTCTTATAGACTTCATAAAGGATATAAAATGTTGTTATGAAGTCTATAAACTAGAAACACAATATTTTCATAAATATACATATTCTCTGTAATATTTTCTAAAACACAATAATAAATATAAAATATGTAATCTCATATTTATAAACATGGAAACCCAAAAACATTTATATATATATATATATATATATATAACTATATATATACACATAGAAACTAAAAAACTTGTGTGTATATATAAAACTATATATACATAGAAACCAAAACTAAAATGTGTGTGTATATAATATTGAGCTTAAAGTATTGAACACACATAATATAAATCTAAACTAAATATACCCAAGCAATCTTGATCTTCAATAAGCTTGACTTGGTAATTTTACGGATGAAGCGGGAACTTGAATCTTTAACTTGAATTGCATGGCTTCACACCGACATTCCGCCAACCTCCATTGGATATGATCGTTGAAGCGTAATTTCATCCATCCTCCAACAATGGTCCGAACTCCGTGATCATTTCCTTGTGTTTGGGTTTGGCATTGGCGCATTTATTCTTACATATTGTCATATCGCTATTGTTGCATGATCATTTTGTTTACCCTTGTTTATATTGTATATCCTTGCACATATCTTGTAGCATATCATACTTGCTAGGATATATTTGTTAATTAGTTTTAATTGGCATAAAATCGGATTAGATTAACATAAGACCCTATTCACCCCCTCCCCTCTAGGGTTTTTTCCTAGCGGCCTTAGGGTCTAACAACATATTGTTCTTCTTCAATAAATATTTGATCTATGAGCATGTTGAATCCATTAGCATACAAATTTACATTGAAGGACAAACTATGTTGAATAAAATAGAAAATAAATGGAAGCAAAAGATGACCTTGAATAGTAATCTGATCACGTGGTTTCCGGTGATTATCAGGTTCACTGGAAATAGAAAACAAAGATTATGTTAAAGGGTTAAAAAAAGGTGTAAATTACCTTTTACGATTTAAGTATGCACTGAGAACCGAGAAGAAGGGGAAAACAAAAGTTACTTTATAGGATAGTAGTCCAACTCCATGGCATCAAGATTAAAAGTGCTGGGCAAGGTAAGAGATTCAAACGGGGCATGGTCCGCTTCACCTGGTAGATTAACTTGCACAGATGTGAAAACTCTTCTTATATCATCCACAATTCTATTACAGTTCTGAATAAGGTACTTGACCTTCATTGAATATATACGAACAAGACCATAAAGAAGGTGTCCTGATAATCTCAAAGCAATTGGAACTTCAGGGAACATGATACATTCTATTGAAGAAAGACGGAAGCTAAGTTAAATGCTCAGTGAAGCACATTCTTCCTAGCGTAGGATTGAATGATTACTTAAGCTTCTAGCTTCTACTCGTTCAAGTTCCTAATTTGGCATCATTCTAGGGTTATCATATTGAAAACCCTTCATTTATATATCTTTACTAGGTGAATATAAAAAAAAAACTATTCAAATTATCTTATTAATCTGCGAATAAATCAACCTTTAAAGATTGTGGAGAAATATGTCGAAGTTTACTACACTATGACCTGCATTAACATAATAAAGAAGATTAAAAAGGGAAGAAAATTAAAAACACTAATTTCTTTTTGACAAACATAGGCTTTACAACATCAAATTTTACTGAAACAAATAGTCTAACCCAATTCTCTCCAAAAGATAATTCTCTTTAGGGGTTGTTTGGTTGGTTTCCTAAAAATCAAGAAAAGGAAAAGGGTACATGAAATTCAATAAAATATTATTTTTATCCATTTTTATCCCTAAAACTAACCACAACATCCAATAAAATATTATTTTCATCCTATAACTCATCTCATATCATCTCCTAAAAATAAACCAAACACAAAAAATGGGTCACATCATCCACCTCTCATCTCCATCATATCTCATCTTTAAAAATCACTCACATCATCCAATAATATGGTGACAACTCATCTTCTCTCATTAACATTTCATTTCCACCTATTTCTTCCAAAAAAGCTAGGAAATCGATTTCCTTAAGTGTGAGTCGCATCATCCAATAATATAATGACAACTTATCTCATCTCATCTATTTTCTTATTTTTATGAATGAACCAAACACAAGAAAAGAACCTATTATAGGAAATATGTTTCTTATAATTTATTTTCTTATTTTTTTAGCTAATCAAACAACCTCAAAACAAATTTTTTTTAAAAATCACCCACATCATCCAATAATAATGTGACAACTCATCTCCATTCTTTGATTTCCTTCTTTTATTAGCCAACCAAACAATCTAAAAATAATTTTTCTTAGAAATAGGTTTCCTATTCTTCGATTTCCTTCTTTTTTTAGGCAAACAAACAGCCCCTTAACCAATTCCTTGGGAAGAAACAAACTTTACACCACAAAATTAATAAACCGAAACCTAACAATGAAAAGAAACTTGAAATTCTAGAAAAATGATACATATTATTCAATAATTAGAATAATCTGTTAACGAACAAGGAAGAATTGCCCCCATGAAAATCAAGAAGCCGAAACCTAACAACAAAACTAGTCAGGAAAAACCTAGAAAACCGAGGGAAAGGAGGAATTTTTTACCACAAAGATCAAATAAAAAAATACAAAAATAAGGAGGGAAATGGAGAATCAACGAACCAGCATAAGAGGCAACATCGATTTCATTGAGTTGGTGTTTCTTGATCTTTCGCTCCAAGTGAGCAGTGATCCATACGGTCCCCAGGGGTCTCTTTTTCGCGATAATGGTGTGAGAATAGAACATTCCCTTCCTTCGATTTCTTCTTGATTTCTAGGGTTTTGAGATGTGGGCAGAGGCGGTTACCAAATTAGGGTTTTTGAGAGAGGGGGGGCATTAATTACCGATGATAACGGGTCATAGGTGTTGGATTTGGGTGTAGCCCAAACTTACCTACAGGCGACAAGCTCGAGGAAGGGGATGTCAGGCGAGCTCCAGGCGAGGTCAAGCTCCCTCAGGCGAGGTGAGCTCCTCAGGCAAGGTCTGGGCTGTAGGCGACCTCCAGTTGACGAGGTGCAGGCGAGGTTAAGATCTGGCGAGCTCGAGTCCTCCACAGGCGAGCTTCTGGCAAGTCAACACAAACGAGGGCGAGGCAGTCTACAGGCGAGCTCGAGTTGGGTTGGATCAGGCGAGCTCGAGCACGGAATCACAGGCGAGGTCGGCACTCTCCAGTGTTGGATTTGAGTGTGAAGACCAAACCTCAATTCAGGCGAGCAAGAGCTCTAGTCAGCGAGGTCGATGGCGAGCTCAAGACGAGCCTTTAGGCGAGCTCGAGGTGAGCTTCAGGCGAGGTCGACGACGAGCTCGAAGTGACCCCTTTACAAGCGAGCTCGATGATGAGGTGACCTCGAGATCAGGTGAGGTCATCGTCGAGGTGCAGGCGAGCTCGAGGAAATCCGCGGACGAGGCGGCTCCGCACAGACGAGCTCCTCACAGCCTGTCGACAGCTCAGCTAAGGTTTCCCTAAAAAAGGGAAACCATGTGCCTTAGCCCCTGTTGCTTCCACCCGTTCTCTTTTTGGTGGCTCTCTCTCCTCACGCGATCTCTCTATGCTCTCTTCTTTTTTCCAGCGTTCTCTCAAAGATTTGAGGGGAGGGGGATTTGATTAAGAAGGAAATTGTTGATTGTGAGGGAGAAATTATTGAGGGGAATTTATTAAAGAGGGGGAATCAACACTGTAGCAATAGTGTTGACTTGTATTTATTAAGAGATCTCAAGTTTGAGATCTGCTCTTACATTGTAATTTCTTGTTAATTAATAATAAATTAATTGTGTGGCTCCCGAGGACGTAGCCAAGTTTGCCAAACTTTGTAAATCTTGGTGTACTTTTCTCTATACTGTATTTTTTCTGTTTTAGGGGTTTAGCGTTGCCCCGGGTATTCCCTAACATCTAGGATGTCGACATTCTGGCTAGGGTTTCCCTTATAAAAGGGCCCCTTGCACGAGAAATCGAGTGAGGGGAGTTTTCTCGAGGCGATTTTTTTAGAGCCTGGCGGCGGTCTTGAGAGCTTCTTCTCCACAGGGCTTTCAGCATGAGATTTTTCAGTGATTTAGGTTGTGTTTGGTTTGAGAGAAAGGGAGAGAAAAGAAAAGGAAAAAGAAAGTGGAAAGAAAGGAAAAGAAAAGGAAAGGAAAATAAAGCAAAGGGTTAACGAAGAAGGATTGAGGAGAATGATTACCACAGTTAGCACATTTAATAATCTGAAGGACTAAATTATTAACCCGTTATAAAAGTTTTATTTTAACCCTTATGATTATTTGTAGTGTTTGAGAATAACAATAATTTTAACTATTTTTTTATAATTAGAAGGGTTAACTCTTAATCATTCTAAATAGGAGTATTAGTAAACCCCTTATTTTGAGGGGTTAACTCATTTTAATCCTTCTAGAGGGGTTAGCTTAACCCTTATATAATTTTTATGTTTGGCAAATTATGGAGGGTTAACTAACTTTAACCATTGTATAGTTTTTTTGTGTTTGGCTGATTAAGAAGGGGTTAAGTCTCCTTAACCCCTCACTTAAACCTTTGACAAAACGGTACCTTAGTTAGAAAATTGTAAAGAAAATTCGAAGGAAAATGATAGGAAAAGTAATTTCTTTTGTTTGGTAACTCTTGTATGAAAATCAAGTAGAAAATAGAAGCTAAGGTACATTACACCAGAAATCTTATTTATTGAAATATATGAACTGTATTTTAAGTAATTTAGGATATAATTTTTTTAAAAGTTTTCAAACTTTAGATTTCATAAATACTATCAAACTTGATTTTTCATATAAATACCTCAAAATTGCTTCTAATGATAAAGCTTATATAAAAAATAATTTAATATTAAAAATTCATAATAATTCATAAAAATTAGTGGTAAAGCTTATATAAATAACAAGTTAATACAAAATTACTAAATAATTCATAAAAATCAGCCATACACATTAAAAAAACAAAATTACCAAGCATAATATTGCATCACTAGGTTATTTCTACAACTGAAAAGCAATTCAAATTTTTTGCTAGACAAAGTAATTAGACAACCCAATCAAACAAAAATTGCATTGTTTTCATTGCTTTGACGATAACATCAATATTTACGTCTTCTTAGACCTTGTCATCTGCTTCTCTCCCTAAAGAAGAAAAAATAAATAAAATGTTGAGTTACATTCAATTTTAAATGGACATGGAGTCAAAAAAGATAATCACTAAGTACCATGAACTAAGAACAAGCTTGTAGAAAATCATCTTGCATCGATTTTAAAACTAGGACAATGCCAATGAGAAAAGCAAATTAATTGTGAAGGCTAAGAAAATATACAAGCGACATTGTTTTTGCTTTCCTCGACGAGAATTGTCGGTAACTTGACGATGTGTTGAAGGTTCCTCATTCTTAATTTACCGCTCGATGTTGGAACGTTTTACTATGTTTAATTAACCTGTAGGTGTTACCACGCTGCTTGAACATGTATATGGAGAATCTGTTGATGCTAAAATTCTAACTTGTAGGATTTTATCCTCAGGCTTATAACTATAATTGATTACACGATCGAAGTAACAATTTCTAGAGAAAATCAAATACCAAATAAATCGAGATTTCCTAGAAAGTAGTAGACAATTTTAACCTATAAATTTTAATGAAATCTGAAGGGGGTTATCAAAGTAAAATAAGATTGAAAATTTTCAGAAATAAAAGTTTGAGAAAATTACTGCAGAATATCAAAGTATACATGGCGAAACTTTAGGGTAGCAAAGTGAAAATAAGCTATCTCCTTTTTAACTAGAAGGGGACATCTCGAATTCTGCGATAAAACAAACAGGGAACTTTCAGTGTCCACAATTTCAAGGCTCTCTCCCTCCCATTCTTTCCATATAAAAAAATCTCGGCGCTTCTTTACTCTCTCTCTCTCTCTCTATCTCGTCTCTCTAGGGTTTTTGGTCAAAATTCATCACTTTAAAATGTGAGAATTCCAATTTAGTCACTGTTTATTTCTTCATTTCACCGTTTTCTTTGGATTTTCGTTTCTAATTTTTTTGGGTTTTTTGATGGTTTTTTAGGGAAGAATCATTGAAGCCGATGGATGCAGAGCAACTGAGAGAGAACGCCCACAAGATGGTGGATTTCATCGCTGATTACTACAAGAGCTTAGAATCTTATCCTGTTCTCAGCCAAGTTCAGGTACAAAACTTTAGCAATGTGATTTGTTTAAAAAAAAAAAAATTTAAAGAGTTTTCTACACCCAATTTTTAATGTAATTATTTTTTATTCATGTTGAAAGGGCTTGAAGTTATTTCAATTTGTGAATGTATTTATTGGATAGCTGGGTTTTAGGAATTGACAAAATGAGAACCAAGATTAAGATGTATTTGAAATGGATACCTTTTCTTCAAAATCAATGAGCTGAGATAGTGCCAAACTTGATCGGTTTGTAAATTATACATCTATTCTTCATGGCTATGCTTTGGAAATTGTATTTCTTCTAAATAGTTATTATCAATTTATGCAATGTACAGTGTATAATCTAATTTGACCTCTCCACAGCCTGGTTATTTAAGGGAACTGCTTCCTGATTCAGCTCCTGATCGTCCTGAAAGTCTCCAAGATGTCCTTGATGGTGAGAGCACTCTTCATTTCTCTTATTTCAGTAACTGATGATCATACGTGCTGTTGTTTTAAACCATTTATATGTTCATTTCTTTCATTTTCGAGTCAGTTGTCAATTCATATCCTGTAATATGCGATGCACAAAGAAAAGTGTTTGCAGTCAGTTGCTTTTCTTCTGTCCCAGTTCTTTTGGTGTTAATGATACAAACATTATCTTTTCTTCATGTAGATATCCGTCAAAAGATAATCCCAGTTCTTTTGGTGTTAATGATACAAACATTATCTTTTCTTCATGTAGATATCCGTCAAAAGATAATACCGGGTATAACGCATTGGCAAAGTCCCAATTATTATGCATATTATCCCTCCAACAGTAGCACAGCTGGTTTCCTTGGTGAAATGCTCAGTGCTGCATTTAACATTGTGGGTTTCAGTTGGGTGAGCTGTCCTGCTGCAACAGAGTTAGAAGTGATTGTTCTGGATTGGCTTGCTAAAATGCTGAAGCTACCAGATCAATTCCTTTCATCTGGTAATACGTGTAAAGTTTATGCAAGAAATTTAAACATGTCAGGATGTGGCTTTTCTTAGACTAGGCATATATATTTTTATTCTGTAGTTGATGCAGCATGTGTTTCGCCGCATTGCAGAAAGTATCACAACTGGACCATCCGGCCAAGTAAGGACCAAGGAGAAGATTAAGATAAATATTTGAAATATTACTAGAAGTTTAAAGTTAGTTATGTGGTTGATTTGGAGTACTATATTAATTTCATTAGACTTATTTATTTGCGATGAGTTGGAGTCTCTAAAGCTTACGTTAGCTTTACTTGTTTGTTTTGGAAAGATTAGATTTAGCTAGTCTTGTTTTCAAGTTATGTTTCACTTTAGTTGCTATATGTAGGAATGATAAGGATGCAGGAGGTTTTGAAGATTGATGGTTATTTTTGTAACGTCAAAGATGGATCACATCTCTAAAGGAATAGGAATGAGGAAACTTGGATATCATGGACATTTCACCAGTCTATGGGCTTTACAATTTTGGATGCATATAATCAAAATATTTATAAAGTTCTTAATACATAGGTAAATCAAACCATCTGAACTGATTCTGGAGTTCTACATGGAGTTAATCCATATAAAAATGCATGGCCAAAACATATTGTATTTCCTTCTCGTTCATAGAATATCCCATCATTTCATTTACCCTATTTTATACACTTTTCAGTTATATGATACTTACCCCTGAAATGCATTTTACAGGACAGGGAGGTGGAGTAATTCAAGGAACAGCTAGTGAATCAGTCCTTGTTGTTCTATTGGCTGCTCGCGATAAAATATTGAGGAAATCTGGAAAAAGATCCCTTGAAAAACTTGTGGTTTATGCTTCAGATCAAACTCATTCTTGCATGCAAAAGGCATGCCAGGTACGTACATTATGCAGAGTTGCTGTTTACATTTTAATTTATCATATAAAGTTCAGGTGCAATTGTAAGCTTGACATTTAAACTCATACATATGAAGATAGATTGCAGGAATTTATACCGAAAATTTAAGATTGCTTAAAGCAGACCAGAACTCAAATTATGCTCTCACTCCTGATGCAGTCTCTGAAGCTATTTCTAGCGACTTGTCAGAGGGCTTGATACCCTTCTTTCTTTGTGCTACAGTAAGAGATCTATGCTTACGTTTCCTCATATCATTATTCTCAGTATTTCTATAACTTCCTTTTTTCTTAATATATATCTTCCAGAATCCCAAATAATTTTCAATATCTCTTGTTTCTATAACTGCTTAAAAGTTTGTATCATGATTTTTGAATAATTGATGAATTTATTTAATATCACATCTTTTGTTAAATATTTTTTAAGTTATTGTATATTGAAAACATAACCTTAATCCAAAAAGCCCAGAATCCATTTAAATTCCTAACACGATACCTAAAAGTTGAACCAAAAGTTCAAGTCGCCAAGATTTCAAATATTTGTATTTATGTGTTTCATGCAATCCCTTCTTAATATATGTGTCTAATATATATATAGCTTGATGCTCCTGCGGGTCAAACAAAATGCTTTGGTATCACTCTCATACCATACGTGAGCTAGTTGAGCTCAACATATTAAATATGCTTTTTTGGATTGAAGGAGTTAATGAATCTCGCAAATATGACTGCATATTCATGTTAAATATGGTATCACCATTGTGAGATTGCCAAGTGGATGATCAGAGTAATTTATTTGTGGCGTAAACTGGACATGGTAATTATGGTAGCTTAGTCTTGTATAGCTTCCTACCGTTATCATCCATCACCTCATCAACTGGGAATCATGATCAATTTGATCTAAGAAGTTGTTTATTAACGAGTAAGTTTTTCATTATAAATAATCAAGTATCTTAACATATTTGATTGACTTTATTATTTCAGATTGGAACTACATCTTCTGCGGCTGTTGATCCCTTATCTGCGTTAGGGAAGATTTCCAAGGTACCCAAACAAGCTAATATCAAATATGTGGGCAAGGAAATGTTCTAAATGACCACCAAGAAACTAAAAAAGTATTTCAATATTACTCAAATTTGCATGTCGTCAATTTGCTTAAGGAACTCTTGTCAACTGGATTTATTGATTGAGAAACTAAAATAGTTTGTACACTCCATATAACTTCTGGATCACATGCTATTTTTCTTTCTTCAAAAGTAATCTGACTATCTGAATATTGGGGATGGTGTTGAATCTCTCTTTTGTTGACTTTGGTAGGCCAATGACATGTGGTTTCATGTTGATGCTGCATATGCTGGAAGTGCCTGTATTTGTCCAGAATACAATCACCATCTAGATGGTGTTGAAGAAGCAGATTCATTTGGCATGAATGCGCACAAATGGTTTCTTACTAATTTTGATTGTTCCGCGCTATGGGTAAAGGTATTTTATCCTATCTTGAATATTTTATATAGTTATGAGTTTCTAATTTCGGGATGGTTAAAATGGAGGAGTGCTTCGGGAGTCTTTTGTGATCGTAGAATAGTAGAATACCTGTTAGACTTAAGGGAAAAATTCTATAGGATAATTATAAGACCAACAATGCTTTATGTATTAGAATATTGGGAATTAAAAAACATGTGCAAAAAATGAGTGTAGCAGAAATGAGAATGCTGAGGTGGTCTTGTGGGTATACACTAAAAGATAGGATAAGAAATGAGTGCATCCGTAGTAAATTAGAGGTTGTTCATTAGATGATAAAATGAGAGAATAGATTAAGGTGGTATGGCAATGTACAACGTAGGCCTCTTCGTGCACCGGGTAGGAGAAGTGATAATATTATAGTTAATGGAGCAAAGAGATTTAGAGGTAGACCTAGAAGGACTTGGTTGGAAGTAATTAAGAAGGATATGGTTATGATTAGCTTAACAGAGGAGATGACCCTAATAGAATAGGATGGAAGAGTATGATTCATGTAGCCGACCCCAAACACTTGGGATAGAAGCTTTGTTGCTGTTGTTTTTGATAAAGGAATACTACAATTTTTTTCCTGGTTAACACTAAAGAACATGCATTATCGATATTGATGTTCTTGCTATTTTGTTTAATCAGATCATTGTAACGAATAATGCTTAATTCCTGTAAACCTATGAAAACAAAATGTGTTTTCAGGTTTTAGATGCACTTCTTTTGCACAGGTCATAAGTGGCATAATTCCCTAGTTGGAAATTAATCCTTATACTGATTATGCAGTCTCCTTTACCTTATAACAGGATAGAAGTGCTCTGATTCAATCCCTATCCACAAATCCTGAGTTTCTGAGAAATAAGGTTAGTCCTAAAACCATGCTTGTTCAAATTCAATAGATATTTTCTGTTGTCTATCAAACTTGGTTCTTTGCACATACCTTGCGGAATTAAGGAGATTTTCAGTTTTATAAGAATGTCAAGAAGATATATGTAACCAAAGATTTTGCATCTGAAAAATTATTAATTGTATGATATATTATCTTGTTCAATTGCATGTAGATAATAACCAATGTATATTAAATGTAATAAACTTAAAGATGCATCCTTTGACACCGTTATTTCTCCAATGGGGAAAAATTACTTTGTAGAAGTCATTTGCACAGGAGGCCCAGAAGTTGATTGCAGGCAGGTCATCTAGAAATAATAACTTGATCCTTTACTTATGTTCAAATTTCATGTCCATAGCTCGAACACATGATAGATGAGATTATAAACTTTTGGATTCCCTAGTGTAGTATAATTGTTGGTCTACTGCTCATCAGCTCAATCCTTTGTGGTGAACTTAAGGTAATTGATGTTTGCTGACAATCACTATAAATTATTTCTTGATATTGTAGACCACATGCGGGTAATCAGTATGATGTTCGTGTACAGCTTGTGTGTGCTGCCTTCAAAGTGTTGGGGTTAGGAGAATTTGTTGGATCTGCATATAATGTCCATTTCACATTCATAAGACTAATTTTTTTTATGATCATTGAATATATTTTTTTTATTAGAAGGAAGAGAAGAATAGAGCTGAAAAAACGAAGTGTCCAAGAAATGTGTGCTGCTTGTCTTTGGATTTTTTTAACCTTGTATGCTGAATAGGATAGTAGTAGCACACAGATTGTTACTCATGCCACCTATGAAGCACGGATACGGACACGGCGACACTGACACGACACGGACACGGACACGGACTCGGCATAACCCAAAAAAATAGGACTCTGCGACACGGCTAGATTTTTTAATATTATTATTATATATAGATCAATATTGAATTAAATTTCTATTACATTTTCATATTTTTTTTGTTATGTAAAGTGGAGATTATAAATAAGAAACTAAAGGAAAGTGTGTGTTGCAGGTGTGAATTAAGATTGTCGGGATGGTAATGATTTCTTAGAGAATTGAAGACAATAATGTTAAAGAAGACAATAAAGAGAAGATGAACATATAGAAAAATAAATCACTTTTTATGTTATATTATTATGTAATATTGGCTTGTATAATCAATGACAAATGTACATTATATTATTATTGTTCCATTTTAATTTCCTGGTAACATCTCATACGAGAATACACATATAGACTGTATCGACGTCAATCCAATGATAATATTTAACAATATATCATAAAATCAATCATGATATACATTCGCATTCCAAATGAATATTCATCCCTCAATCCACAATATCGAATAATATTCATCATATAATCACAATATCGAAAAATATTATTACAAGTAACAACTACAACACTGAATTTCCATTACTAATTAATGACATATAAAACACAAGTGCAAATTGTTTAAGAAAACTTCATCTTCAAATAGTTGTTCCCATATACACTTTTAATTACTTCAAATATTTAATGTAAAACCAAGAATTTTCAAAATTATACATTTATAACAACTTAAGCCAGCATGTGAAAGGCTTTGCAACTTTTCAACTTCCATCTTTAGTTCTTTATTACCTGCAAGCAAAAGAAAAATAATATTTCGTGTTAGGCTTATAAAGGCATTATCTATTGATCTCTTTTTTTTGTCAAAAATTAAGATATATTATTTAGTAAGTGATATTTATGTTATCTTATACTATCTAAAAAAACACTTATAATTTTATCAAGGAAAATAATATTTAGAGTTAGACAACTATTATTAAGGCATTTCCTAGGCTTTGTAACTCTGTTCCGGTTCGCGTGGACTTGGTAAGCTCATTGCCTATATACAGATTGGTGGGCTTTTATGTGGCTAGAGCCCATTTCATTCCTAACCGTAGGATCTTAAAGCAAGCAGCCGATCATCACCCATCGCAGACATAAATACTAGCAAACCCCTCTTCGTTCCAAATCGCTAACCCTAATTCTCTGCGGATCGAGAAGGGAGAGAGAACACCAAAAATGAGTCGAGCGGCGGCGGCAAAGGGCGGGAAGAAGAAGGGGTCGAGCTTCGTGATCGCTGGAAAAATTCTCGTTCGCCAGGGTTTGATCGGAGATCGGGATGATGCTCTCGCTGCAGAGCGACGGCCGACGAGGACGAGCTGATCGAGAGAGAGAGACGAAGTGATTGTGGCGGCGTCGGGACTCAGGTGAGTGAATAAATTAGGGTTTGGGTTTGAGTTTCGGGTTTTTCTTTTTCGTCGCCCTCTCAACCGTGTCGGGATCGAACATCAGCCGTGTCGGGAGCATGTCGCGAGCGAGTCGGGGCGTTGACCCGTGTCGTCGGCGTTGACCGCGTGTCCGACGCGTGTCGAACGCGTGTCGAACGCGTGTCCGCGTCCGACACGCGTCGGACGCGGACTCGGGGCTTGTTTCGGCGTGTCGGTGCTTCATAGCATGCCACCATTAACATAAACCTAACAAAATTCACTTGTTTTAAGTTTTTTATTATCATTATCCTTTTATTTTAAAAAGAAAGGTAATAAAATCACCAGATCTTTTGATCAATTTGCCACTTTCAGAATCCTTTTCTTTAAGCTGATCACAGAATGGCCTAATACTATTTGAGGTATTGACCAGTGATTTTGTTAATGGCCATGCTAAAATTATCTCTTTTACCCTCTAATTTGTCAGAAACTTTTTGTGAATGTTGAGGGTGAATATTTGGCAACATAGTTCCCTGTAATCCGCCTGAACTCTGAACTTTTGAGGCTCACTGCACTATTCATGAATGCTAACTTGTGACTTTTCTCTACATCATTTACTGATGAGCATCTTGAACAGAGATACTTCTTTCTTGCTCTATTATATCTTGATGAATGTCAATCCAGTCACGTTTGTTGACTCGAACTGGTGGCCCCCTCTCCATATCTTGATAAATTAATATCATGAGTTAAAATCAGTTGCCCACGCTGTTTAGAATACTGATGTGATTTGCTCATGGTCTGCTGGAGTCCTTTTTACTCTTAAAGTGCCGAAAACTCCTTAGATGTGGATGCTACATGTGTTTCTATCCTCTGCTTCTTCGTGCCATATGTGCTGGTGTATGAAGATTACTGATAGGCTGATAGGTCATTGAGAACAAGGTAGACACATAAGGGTTCAGGGATTTCTGTAACTTGCCACAGGAAAAGCTAGTAATGTCTCCTCCGAAGTTTTTATGTTATGGGGCTAGTGAGATTTTTTTAACGCCTGGTAGCTTGATTAATTAGCAGGTGTCAAAGTTAGTTTAATCCTTGATTGCTATGGTAGACCTATTGGAATCCGTAATTGACTTACGATTAGGAATCTAGAGTCAAATGTTAGTGTAGCTTACAAGTTCATTATGGGTGTTGCTGAAATTTCAATAGTGGTGCAGTGTGTTAATATAACAAATATTCTTTTCTGTGGTCAGATAATCGCTTAGAAATTATGTAGAGTATAACCATTATTAAGCTTTCTACTTGTATATAAATGGAATGTTAATTTGTCTACATATGGATATTCATGCTTGATATTAAGAGGTGAGGCCATAATTATTGACCGTAAGTGCTTTAAGTTAACACTGAAAAGTTAAAACACATGAATAAATTCATTATTTTCTTTTTATTCTTTCTTCACGAATCTTGCAAACATCACAGGTATGCGCAAGCACTGGCCTTATGTTTAATTAAGTTTTCACCCTATTCAGACTTAGTTATTTATTATGTGATGACTGTCAGTTTGACATTTAATGTTGTGTGACATGACAGTTCCTTCTGTTCTGTTCCTTGATTGCCTTAGGCCTGTTGCTTAATATTATTGAATTCACCAGGCCTCACAAGAACACACTGTAGTGGATTTCAAGGACTGGCAAGTTCCTCTTGGACGCCGTTTCAGGTTCATGACCTTACCCTACTGTTTTGAATAAATAAAACTTCATTATGGATATACCTGATGTGAATTGTTGCTCTAGAGAATGTTGTAGGTCTGTGCAATGCGAAATTAAATGTGTCTTTCATACAACCCTCTAAACCGGTTTGGAACCGGGCTTGTCTTGGACCAATTTCCGGCCCTTAATCTCATCACTGTGATAATTACAGGAGTTCACATATGGGAGGAAATGAGTGAAACATGCCATCCCTTGTTATTATTGTCTTCTGGTGCATTACGTACAAAGACTGCAGGTCCCTATATTCATATCCACATCAATAAATTCTTTTTTATTATTTATTTTATCAGTCAATAGACCCTGAATCCAAGAACCTTTCACTCCTGTTTGGGATAGGGGGCATTAAAATAAGAAGATAGTCCATGTCACCCATGTTCGCAGACCCTGAGTCTTGCTCTCTTCCCTACTAACCTGTTGCAGGACATATGTCATGTAAGACATGTCTCATGGGTTCATAGAACCGGGTTATAATCTCAGGAACAACTTTACTCAATCTCAAACTTGCTTTGGGTAGAACCATTTAACGGTATAAGCAATTTCTTAAGCCTTTCTTCTCAAGCTTGGATAAAATGGGTTTTAAAGGTGTCGAAGTATATTATTACTATATTACAGTTATCCGTCATATTATATTTTAGAAACTGTTATATATTAAATTTATATCAATTGTTATTAAAATTAACAAATAAAAAGTACCTCAACTTATGGAATTGATACTAACAGTATGATATTCTCTCTAGACTTTTATGATAATTTTATTCAAAATATTGTCAATTGAGATGTTTCAGCTCCTTACTACATCTAATTAATTTTCCATTCTTTGGGTTTTAACCATCTTAGATGAAACTTTTTGCATCTATTCTTACATTTAGCATCATTTGCTTCTTTACATCTCTTTGTATGACCGTTGGCATAACCTAATCTAGTACTGCTGCTTTAGGAATATCTTTGATTTTATCTAAAAAATAAAATATAATTTTTTAAAAAAATCAGTTTTTCGTCCTCTGTTTATTGTGTACAGTGACAGCTTGACTTTCTGACATTTCATTGATAAAAACATTGGTTTCAGATCGTTAAAGCTCTGGATGGTTTTGAGGCTTTATGGTTTGGAAAACCTGCAACATTACATCAGGAATCACATAAAGCTGGCTGAAGAGTTTGAACAACTAGTAAATTCTGATTCCCGCTTTGAGGTAAAAAACCTGATCTTATTATGTATATGTGTGGATTTTAGATCCACGTGGCCAGTTGCAACTTGCAACAATTCTTTTCCTTTTGAACTAGAAAAGATCTATTTTGCATCTGAATTTATGATTTAATCAGAGGGTCTAAATGGTTCCTTGGCAGTGTATCTCTTTAGCTCTTGGCTTGCTTCAGAGTTGAATATAATTTTCTATGTAAAAATTTTCATCTTTCCTTCTTGTAGATTGTAAATCCTGAATGTGGAAGTTGTCAAGTCTTTTGGGATAATAACAAGTCCTTCTGTGGTCCATTCTGGCGTTGATTAATAGAGGGTTGACAGCCACACACAAATAAACATTGTCAAAGCTATCGGTCTGACACAGATTTTGCGGTGTCTATGAATAGTTTTAACGTGTCGACACCAGCTGCATCCTGTAATCGAGCATTTCCATCTTCAACACAATGCACATAGAACAAATTAGTTTTTTGCATGAATATTAGTAAACTGCTGCATCCTTTTGATAACTAATAATTTTCAACAGTATATATACCCTACCATTCAAATGTCTATGAGTCAACAATAATGGATGTGCGTGACTTCTTACACAGGCATTACTGGTCTCATTAATTTGATTATAGATTGGATGCTCGGTTCATCAGAGCTTAACATGTTATACAGACAGAACTAGCCAGTGGATCACTGATCGCATCTTGGTTATCCTAGACAGTTGAAAACCTTAACTGAATCTTCCCCTTCTTGTAGCACCAGTCCCTACAATCCCTACAGTTCCCAACAAACTTATTTCCTATTAATTTGGGATCTAATGTTTGCAGATTTTGCATGTGAAATATTTAATTCAGATGGGAAGCCATATCCCACCTTCTTCATCTTCTTCTTTTCTATTGCCTAAATGAACTTGTACAATGATGTATCTTTATAGGTCCAAAATACCCGAAATAAAAATGGATTTTACAATCATGACTGAATTGTAATAAACAAATCACACTAATTTATTCCAAATGGAAATTTGATCTTAAAAATTATGTTGTCCAAGTAGACTAAAAGTTTCCAGATGGGAAAATATAATCCTCACTAATCATAATTCTCAAGCAATAACAAAACTAAAAACCTGATCTTGTAATGAGATGAGCTTTGACTAATTTGCTTTATCTCTATTTTTCTCACTTCCATATTGAGCTCAAGATGTCGCTTTGCATCCTATAATTTCTGTGCATAAGAAATCTTTAATTATAGCTCTCATATCCTTGTGTTTAGCTCTTCTCTAACATTATAATAATCTTTTACTCAAGAACTAGGTTACCCGGACACTTCATCTAGGTTCATGTATCCATGTCCGACACTTCTCGTATCTGTGTTCATGTCAGACGCTCCTTGGACACTTCTTGAATATATACATACATTTATGCAAACGTATACTCAATTACATAACACATGTTTTAGTTTAAAAAACTCATGATACACTTCTCGAACATATATCGTACATTTCACCTCAAATTTATGCAACTTGTTAAACTCAGGACAGGTTCATTTTAGCACATACCTAGTTCTAAATATAATTTTAAAGTCATTTGGTATCTAGTTAAAAAACGATTAGTTTCTCAATTTACAATTTACTCAATAAAAATAATAAAAATAGTATAAGGATTTTAGTTTTATAACATGTGAATGAAAAGCAATATCAATCTCATATTAGATTGTTAATTTTGATGTATGCATATAGTCGTGTCCACATATCCTAACGTTTACAATTTTACCGTGTCCCGTGTCCGCACCCGCACCCGTGCAACATAGCTCAACAATTAAGGTAATTTGCTTTATGATGCAATCATATGACAACTTGAGCATTGCTATACATGATATTTTGCATTTCGTTACATCCACGTGCAAACTCATAAAGCAGCAAATTCGTATGACAATAACAATAGAGAAAAAGTACTCAACTATTTTGTGTGTTTGCGCTCACTCTTTTCACATAAAGAATGTCAGGGTCATGTATGAAAACTATGTGCATATAAATACTTGCTCTGTAAATGCGAACAGGTTGTCACCCCACGAACTTTTTCGCTTGTTTGCTTCCGTCTTCTTCCTCAACCAGATCATCAAGACGATGGCTATAAACTGAACTACGACTTGCTGGATGCTGTCAACTCCAGTGGAAAAATCTTTCTATCACATACAGTAGGTGTTACTTATCTTAGTTCTGCTAGCATTACCTTGGATACTCTGTTAACTATAAAGCCTCTGGCACTGTCAGGTTTTATCTGGCAAGTTTGTCCTCAGATTCGCAGTTGGAGCACCACTGACAGAAGAAACACATATTAAGGCAGCTTGGGAGGTTTTGCAGGATCAGGCAACCATTATTTTAGCGGAAATCTAAGGTAAGCATTTCTGTAGCATCAGTTCTAAGAATTCAAACCATCATCGCAATTGACTAGGGCTTTGCAGAAAGAAATACTCTTCTGTTTGTTGATAAATGTTTAAGCGTCGGTCTATGGTCAAGACGGAAGAATACTTGTCCTCTCTCTCTTTCTCTTCATAATTTTCAGTCCCATGCCTGTTTCTGTGTTTTCTCTTCGCACACTTAAAAAACATGCTTAATTTTTCTAGCATATTCCTGTATGGTCATTTTCCATTTTCCTTGCCAGATGTCTAACTATTTTACTTTTCTCTTTTTTGCTTTACATGCAGTATGTTGGCAGTAAACCCATCCGCTCACTGTTATATCGCTGATTTGGGCATTTCCATTAATCACCATTTGATGGAGAACCAACAATCTGTGTAAAAATTCATATACTGCACCAATGTATAAGACAGAAATCACCCATTGATCTGAAACACTCTATTGATTGGTTTCCATAATAAAAGGATCTTAAATGTAATATTCACTACTTGTTTTCGGTTCTTCCAGATTTCTCTGATAACTGTGAATTCTAGTTTGAATGGATATATTTTGCTGGAGATAATTCTTTCCTGTCGGAAATTTATGAAATTGCATCACCCTTGACTTATACCCTTTAGGAAAGGGGTTGTTGCAGACTGGTTATGCTCCTGAAAAAGAAAATAATAAGGGGGAAAATGCTAAATTTTGGGTTTATCTTAGAGCGAGCGCTGGAGAAGACATTTCCTCTTTTAACTAATTTGTGCGTTCTGATTTCATCTTATTAATTTTAAAGTCTGATTCATTGTCCTAAAACCTTTCTAAATGTTGCTAGTTCTGGTGAGGCGTTCCTAAAACCTTTTTAAATGTTACAGGTAGACTAATTTGCATCTAAAACAAAGAGAACAATGATCTTCTGCTAGGTTTTACTGTCGAAAAGGTTGAAGAAAGAATGCTTCTTCAAAAAAGAGGTTGGAGTTAAAATGAAGAATTTATCAGGTTCATGTATCCTGAGGTACAGTGTAATTCCAAGGGGGGCTTGGAGTCTGCATATCTGTACGGATAAATCTGGCATTACTGATTGTGATAGCACGAGTGATCTTGGGATATCTTTATTTTTCCTCATACGGATACAATCAGTAATCTTAAGGTTATCTATGTAGATGCCCATAGTCAAGGGCCACTCATGCAAGAACACCATCGCGCGCTTAGGGGGACAAATTTTCAAAACCAACCTATTTTATTATTTAATTGCAAAAAAAAAAACTCGTTTCAGTTTTATTTAGAGAAACCGACCTGGTTTCAGCACTGTCGCTGAAACCAGGTCGGTTTTTCTCAAAAACCTTACGAAACTACACGGGAGTTCAACTCCCGTGAAGTTTAGTACGTTTTTAAACTTCACGGGAGTTGAACTCCCGTGAAGTTTATTACCCTCAATAAACTCCACGGGAGTTCAACTCCCGTGGAGTTGCAGGGTAAAATCCCCAGCGAGTAACTCGCTGGGAAATCTGGCCTGCAGCTTCACGGGAGTTGAACTCCCGTGAAGATGCAGGCCAGATTTTGCAGCGAGCTATCTAGTGGCGGATTTAGCTGATCATGTTGAATCCCGTGAAGCTGCGGCTATATATATCGCAGCGAGCCCGCCATCAGTTTCCTCCCGCAACCGCCCCAAACCCTAACCTCTCTCCGCCGCCGTCCACGTCGTTTCCGACCCCAGCCCCCCAAATCCGACCGCCGGCCATTGATTCCGACCGTCAGCACTCATTTCCGACTGTTTGCCCTCGATTCCGACCGCCGGAACAGTCAACTTCGCCGGATTTCAACAATTTGAGGGTAAATTCCTCCCAAAATTAGATTTTCTCTTAATTTCTTGTAATTCCTCGCTATTTAATGGTGATTATATGTAAAAAAATTATATTTTAGAATTTAATTGTGAAATTTTTATGATTTATGTGAAGAAAACTTAAATAATTTTGTCGATTTAGAGGGTAAATTATCAATAATGTAAAAAATAGTGTTACTACATATGATGTCAATCTAATTTATTTTAAAAAAATTGTGTTATTAATAATTTTGTCGATTTTAGAATTTCATTATGAATAAGTTATGAAATTAGTGCTATATGACATCAATTAAAAAATCTAAAAATTAGTGCTATATGACATCAATTAGATTTGAGAATTTAATTGTGAATTTTATGAATTATGGGAAGAAAACTTAAATTATTTTGTCGAGTTAGAGGGTAAATTATCAATAATGTAAAAAATAGTTTTGGTACATATGTATGACATCGGTATATGAATTTGTAAAAAATTATGGTTCCCTAAAATTGATATAGGATTTAATTTTAAGTAACAATAAATTTTTAGAGTCTTTTCGTGTAATATTGATCTTGAATGTTTTACTCTTCAGAGGTAATGATGAACGATCGAATCGTAATTTTGTGTTCGTATGATGGGAAGATTAAATACCTCGAAAATAATATGCCCGTTTATGAAGGAGGTACGACGAGACCATTGTTTATAACAAAATCGTGTACTTTCGATGAGTTGGTTAATGAATTGCACAAACTTACATTAACCAACTCACGTGAGTATCACCTTAATGTTATTTGCAATTATCCTGTCGTGGAGAACAGGACAAGCGGCATTCAAATATCAAGTGACTACGATATGAGTCTAATTGGAGTCTTACATGACGAGAAGCGTTCGATTGAATTGTTCATTGAAAAACATCAAAGGAATTTGGGCAAATCGTTGAATTATGATGGAATGTATTCCCGCATGTTGGAAGACCCTGATGTTGATTCCGTTGGTTTTTTATCTCCTCAACAAGATGAAGGTTGGACACAATCACAATATATGAGCGGTCCTTCGCTTGTGGGCACTTCGAATGCGGTCGATACTAACACGGGAGTTCAAGAAGATAATGCAAGTGTTGAATCTGAGAATGATGATGAAGAGGAGGGCTTACAAATTGATAGCATGACCTTGATAGATCGTGATGAAGGGGACAACCACCACATTGACGGGTGTTATGCTAATAATGAGTATGTTGTCTTAGAGGATCCGCCGCCCGATGAACTTCAAGGAGAAGAATGGATCGATAACTCCGTGATGGAAAGTGTTCCTATTGGCACTAATAGCGGTCATGATACACAGGTCGAGGACTTCTCATTCGTGAAGGGAGATCTATATGAGAGCAAGGAGAAATTGATCTAAGCGCTTCGCTTGTACGCCATTGCAAAAAATGTCAAGTTTAGGCCAACAAAAAATAATACTACAAGCTATAATGCGGTTTGTTTCTATCGCAAAGATGGCGATGATAAAGATATTGATGGACACCACGACGGCAATGCGAAATGTCCGTGGAATCTTAATTCACGCTCCGGTGTAAGAGTAGGCGGGCAATTCAAAATCACGGCGTACAACGGACTCCACACTTGTAGCAATCCTCGATTAGAGATGAATAACAAGAATGCATCCTCTTCCTTCATATATCGATTGATTTTACCGCATCTGAGGGAGGATCTTGATCTAAGGCCGAAAGATATTCGTCTTCTAGTGCAAAAAGCCACCAACTTGGATGTATCATATCACAAGTGTTGGAATGCTAGGAGGAAGGCGATGATAAAAATATTCGGTGATTGAGATAAATCGTATGAGATCTTACCTCATTATCTTGAAGCACTCAAAAGAGAAAATCCAGGAACTGTCTACGAAGTATCTTCGGACCCCGTTGATGGCGGAGATCGGCGGTTCACCGGTGTATTTTGGGCATTTGGGTCATGTATTGAGGGGTTTCGATATTGTCGTCCTCTTCTTAGCATTGATGACACCCACTTATACGGCAAGTACAAATGAGTTTTGCTTGTTGCCACTGGAGTTGATGCGGATGGCGGTTTGTTTCCTTTGTCGTTTGCAGTGGTTGATATTGAAAACACAGAGAATTGGGCGTGGTTTTTTGCATGCATTAGATATCATATCCCTAGTGTGGGTGCGCGGCCGATTACATTCATATCTGATAGGATGAAAGGAATTCCAAGAGCACTCCAACGACATTTCCCAGAGCCACATGCACATCGTTATTGCTTGCGACATATTAGGGACAACTTCAAGAAGAAATTTGGAAGCGGTCAGGTTCAAGATCTTCTTTGGCAAGCCGGCTGTGCAACAGAAAAATTAGTTTATGACCAAATATGAGAGAGGATTAAGTTTATCTCCCGAGTTGCACATGATTGGATCGAAACTAGTTTGGGACCACACAATGTTGATAAGTGGGCTTTATGTGAAGATGGCGAGAGACGGTTCTGTATGATGACTACGAACGCTTCAGAGAGTTTCAATGGCATGCTCAGGGGAGCATGCGGTATGCCAATACAGTCACTAGTTGCTAAAACATTCTACAGACTTAATAACTTCTTTCTACGACGTCGCGAACTTGGCGAAAATATCCGCTCGGAGCTCACACCGAAAAATGATGAAATGTTAGCAGCTCGGATTGTACAAGCTCGATCCTTTCATGTCGTAAGATACAGTTTTAATGAATGGGAAGTCATTGAGGGAATATCACATAGAGAAAATCGCTCTTATAAAGTTAACATGTTAGTGGATCACTCGTGTACGTGCACTTGCAACGTACCGCAATTACAATGGATTCCTTGTTCACATGTTGTCGCGGCTTGTTCTGATCTACAAGGTGGTGCGAGGATTTCACACTATGAGTTCGTCGAGGCTTGGTATTCTACTTACAACTATCGACAAACATACAAAGAGTGTTTTCGTCCACCATATGATAGTCGATATTGGACACAAGACGGGCCACTGATATTGCCTCATTTGTATAAAAGGTCGGCGGGGCGCCCTCGTTCCGTACGAATTAGAAATTGTATGGATGACGGTCGTGAAGGAGTTAGGAGGAGAAATAAGTGTAGTAGATGCGATCAACCGGGCCATAAGAAAAATAATTGTCCAGTTAGGATTAGGCGTTGATGTTGTAATCTATAGCGGTTTCGATCTGTGTTTTCTTCCGTATGTCATTTGTGATTGTTAAATGCTAGGGGTTTCGTTCTGTGTTTGTTTCCGTGTGTCATTTGTGATTGTAATTTGTAGCGGTTTCGTGAGTTGTTTGTTTCTGTATCTCATTTGTGATTGTAATTTGTATCGTTTCGTACTATGTTATATAAATTTAATGTTTGGTTTCAAGTTATTGCTTTCTTCACGTTGCGCATTCGTTTGTTGTTTATATATAACTAGATGAGTATTTTAACAAAAAGATCTAACACATTGAGCATTGTCTTCTAATATAATTCTCAGTTATATTCATTATGGATCCGGGACCGAGACGCCCCGACGTTTTGACCCTCCAGGCGAGCCACGTTTCAGATTATATTGGCTCAGGACAGGTAAAACATCTTTTGTATATGCTAGTTAGCATTGGCACTAATTTTAATTTTTCGCATTATACTTAATTCAATTCTTTTTTGACGTGCAGCCCGTACCTGATATCACCATGATCGAGCATTCACAGAGCCATTCATCTTGGGTCATTGAGGATGAGAGAGTTCTAGCGCTGATCTCTCAGGCTGGTTTTCGGGAGTGCTCGACGATTCGATATATCAGGCTTGATTGGCCGCTTATCACTGCTTTGATTAAGAGGTAAAGGCCAAAGACCAACACCTTTCACATGCATATAGGGGAGTGCACCATCACTTTACAGGATGTGGCTGTCATTCTTGGGCTCCGGATCGATGGGCTGCCAGTTACGAGCACCGATGATCATAGTTGGCCTGAGGTATGTGCCCGGCTTCTTGGACAGGTTCCCGACTTGAGGAGTGGTGCGATGAAGCTATCGTGGCTTCGTCAGACATTTCAGGGCGATATACCACAGGATGCCGATGATGAGACGCTCCAGTTTCATGCTCGTGCATACATATTGCACATGATAGGGTGCGTGCTTTTTTCGGATGCGAGCAAAACTCTCGTACATGCACGATGGCTGCCACTGCTGGAGGATTTTGATGTATGCGGTGTACTATAGTGGGGCAGTGCGGTGTTGGCATATTTGTATCGAGAGTTGAGTAGAGTATCCCTGATGCAGAATAAAGAATTCAAGGGATGCTGCACATTGATACAGATTTGGTCATGGGAGCGCATTCATATTGGACGCCCTACTTTACTTGTGCACCGTGACCTACAGGGGCAGTTTCCTTTGGCGTACAGGTATAATTGTACACACAAATTTTATTCGCACTGAATTTGTACTTATATATTCTCTATTCTGCATATAGGTATAACGTGCGGTACGCTAAGTACCGATCAGCGACGAGCCATCGTGAGTTTTACCGAAATGAGCTTGATGGTTTCCAACACGAACAGGTAAATATAAATCTCAAGTCGTTATGAATATTATAGTTTTGTTGTTGATATTGATAAATTTTTTATTTTATTTCAGTTCAAGTGGAGACCCTATACACCGCCGGAGCTGGATATGCATTCTCTTGCACCCATCTGCCGAGATAGTCCCGACTTGTGGAGAGCGAGAGTTCCATTGATTTGTTGGGAGATCGTGAAGATGCATGTCCCTGACCGTGTGCTACGATAGTTTACGCTCTCTCAGCATGTACCAGATCCTGTTGAGCAGATCTCTCGTCGGCGGCGACCTACTTCGCACCATAACGACTGGGCCGTAGTCCGTGCGGCCTACATAGACAGGTGGGCTCACAGGTGGGATTTCATCCAGGATACGAGGCCCACGGCTGTTTGTTGACCCTATAGTTTTGATGATGATTTGACAAACAATTTATTACTAATAAGTTTTTCCAGTGTTTTGTGTTTATGTTCTCTTTTCAGGTATTTCAACACAGCGTTAAAGATTCAAGTTCATCTGCGTGGATTTACCTAGGTATTTGTTTAGTTTACTTACATATATGGTATGATGATATCTAAGCTCAATATATATACACTTAACACGATTTTTGACGTTTTATATCATATAAATGATTTTTCTTAAAACATTGTTAAAATATCTTTATCTCTTGTTTACAGCTCTCTCACGCTTTGCTATATACATATAATTTATGCACAATACATATATGAATATTTACAAGTCCTATTTCAAATTTCACTTTCATAAAAATACAGGTTTTCTAAGCATTTTTCAAAAACAGGTAGTTTTCACAAACGAAATTTGTTTTTCCAAAAATTCCTTTTCAAACATGTTCATTTCATCATTTATAAACTTTCCCCAAAGTTTCATTATTTTTGGATATGAATTGATATTTTTAACGAATTTCCAAAAACTACCCAAAACCTATTTTCTGCCCATGTCAGATTTCGGTCGACCGATACGGTCGACCGACGGCTATCTGGTTTCTGAGAAACTTTCTAGTGGTTTTCCGGTCGACCGGAATTTACGTCGGTCGACCGAAATTTCCATTCGGTCGACCGAAATTTGCGTCGGTCGACCGCCAGCTTCAAAACATGTTTTCTCACGTTTTTTGAACTAATCGGTCGACCGTACCGGTCGACCGAAGAGCTGACAAACTGAGCCTAACGGCTAGTTTTTCAAATGGGCTTTTTGGTCTTTTTCTTATTTTTAGCTGTTGTAATGGGGTGCTATATATACCCCATTGCTGCTCTTCTTCTCAATCAATCAAGAAATCCAAGTTTACTGTTTAGTCAATCTGTCGAATACAGATCTGCGAGGTTCAGGAATACAACAGTGACATTCGGAAAGGACTGTTGAAATAAGCCGTTCGCAATGACATGGATGGGCTGCTCGTTGCGTTGGCTTTTCTCTGGAAAGCAACTCTCGCAAATCTGAGACCCGAGGACAGTTCTTCATCGGGGATGAAACTCCCTGTTCTTGAGTGGGTGAAATTGGTTCTTGTTGAACCTGACGGACCCTATTGCATTCGGGCGTCGAAGCGTGAGGGTCGCGTTTTGATTTATAAACACTAGGCCTTGGCCTGCGTTTAGTTGAAGGAACAGACCCTTTAGGGTCTTGTTTTGTTTGGACGCACTCTTGAGGTGCTTGTTTTCCCTTGACAGGGCTGTGTTTTGATTGGACAACGCACCACTGAGGGTCGCGTTTAAGTTGAATCACCCGAGGTTTGTAATTGGATTCATTACCTCGAAGTGTGCGTTCTGGAGTATGGACGCAATGCTTGTGCAGATCTTCGGAGACGCAATCCTTGCGTTGGACTCGGGATTGATTTTCTCGGAGGTGTGCTCGTCGGATGGACCTTCTTCGTCGTCGAGCAGCGTTTTTCTTGGCTTGTTTCAAAGCCTTAGTATCAGCAACACCGGCGTTGATTGTGCTTATCTCTGTCATAGGCCTTTTACAACCAAGTACACGCTGTGTCGACATAGGCGTGTGATCTTCGGTTTGCAGAGCGAGCTTGAGGCTTTGGCCAAAGGAGAGGACTTTCTTTGGCGTCTCAACAGCAGTTAAGACTTCTTTAGAGCTCTTACAAGCATCTCGCCTAGCCTTAGGGCTGAGCGATCCGGAAGAGAGAGCCTCCTCGTATTTGGCTTGGTCAAATTCCACGACCAAGGTTTCCACGGTTGTTCCAGTGAGGTGAACGTCGGATTGCGCCACCACCTCTTCGTCAGAGAAGCTAGTCCCCAGCGGAGTCGCCATCTTTTGTTTGTGGGAAATTTTGTAATAAAAAGAATATAAGGAAAGAATTGCGTTTGATTTTATTCTCTCTAACTGCTTAGAAAAAGAATGTTTACAACTCTCTCAACTCTCAATTACAATTGGATTTCCGATTTACAAAAGAGAAGAGAATGATCTGGATTCTCCCCTTTGTTTAATTCTGGGTTCTTCACGGTAGCGATGAGATGCCTCCCTCGAATGCTCGCGTCGAGTTTGCTTCTCGTTGACGATCCGAATATCTATACTCACCGGAATAACTGTCTTGTCTGGTTGATAACTCTTGTCGAGTTTTTTTTTTGATTCGGAACAAGTAACAAACTCTAATGATAGAGTTGTTCGAACCGAAAATAATTCGGT